ATCAACAGGAAGAAAAAAGAAGATTGAGTAAGTACTGTATTTCTTGTTTATTTTTATCTATTATTATAAAAGTAACTAAAATTAGATTAGATAAAATAAATAATATAATAAAAATGTTTCCACAAGGCACATGAGAGTAGCTAATGTAATTTGATAGTGTAACATGAGCTGCATGTGCTCCAAGTGATTTGCACCCTTATAATGGTTCATATAGTAGTTAGATATGGTTTAAAGGGCAATAAAACCATAAAATTTAATTATAAATAGATATATACTGTTACAAGCTTAAAGCTACCTAGGATAAACAAATGTAGTTTCATGTTACAATTTGAAGTCATTTTAAAAAGAAAAAAAAGGTAATTTAGAATTATTTCGATTTTATTTGGTGATTATGACATCTGTCAAATTTTGAGATAGGATAAACAAAATAACAGATAAAATATAAAGTTTTACTGAAAAAAAAAAGGTTTGAAATGTGTTAGGAGATTTTAGGGATTACACAAAGGAAATTTGAGATTTTTGAGATGAAGAAAAGTATTTTAAATCTTAACATGAAAATTACTTTGCACACAGACTATTCAAAACAAATACTCAATATATTCATGGACAAATATTTTTTTAGTTTATTAAAAATACTTGAATAAAAAATATGTTTTTTTCTATGTGAAAGACTTATAATGTTAACTGAAAGACTGCCAAATTTTGTGATGATATACACACTATATTGAAAGTTAGACGTATTAAATCTATAAAGACTTTAAACGAGTACAAAGAGGTCATGTGGTCGGTCAAATTGACCGAGCCTGTGTTAAGAGAGATAGTGCTATCTTAAAAACTTTTTTCATCCTGTTTTACAGAACAGGAACCTACTAAATTTCTATTGGTTCATGCAAGTATGTTTTGTATGTTCCTTTTGAATATGTTTGAAAAATAATTTAAACATATGTAACAAAAAATGCCTTTTCTTTCTTTAGTATACAAGAATCATCAAAATAAGGAGCTAAAACATGCACTTCATAGCATTTAATATGTAGCAGTATACTGCTACATATTAAATGCTACTTTAAGCAAGAGGATTAACAACTACACAGTGCTCTAAGCATGTTCTACCCTTAGATCATAATGTCACAAAAAAGTAACGTATTATTAAAACTTACAATGCTCCTGTCTTTCAGACAATTTTAAAAATTGTACCACATGCTTTTTTAACTTTTGGACCTTTTTATTCTGGAAACAAATGTAGCTGTTTAAAGCAAACTGATTAACAGCAATAGGTATGTCTACTAAAAGTTACACTACATTACAAATAATTTGGGCAAACTGAATTAATTAAAATCAATCTGAGCTTCTTAATCTCAGACTAATAGCCATAACACAATAATAAACAAAAAAGATTAGGGCAAATCCTTGTTTATAGAATCTCTACCATGTAATATGACTTCCTGCTACATCATCACACTTACAGGTCACCTAGGAATTCTCAGATATCTTTTATGCATTCATTACTATACAGAAAAAAGATCTTTTGTCATCAACACTACTCTTTCTAATACCCCTATTCACAATGCAGACTTCATTCCTGACTGAGATCTCAATTATGATTTTGGAAAGGTGGTTGAGTTTCAACAAAGAATTCTCTGAGTTTTAATTACAGTCGGAAATGTAGAACTGCTATCACTAATTTCATTATTACAAATTGTACGTAACTTTTACCAATACTGATCCCATTTTATTCCTGAGCATACAGAATGCAAACAGCATATATTTATGAAAAAAAACAGTATGCTTATCATCATCTGCTACTCTTTGCTTTCAGCTGCAAATTCACATCAAATTGGAAGGAATGATTAATACAATACTAAAAACGCTCTGAGGTCAGAACGTTAATTGAACTTCAATTGCAGTTAAGATCAATTAGGAATCACTTTGCAATTTAAAATTAAAATATTTTAATGCTTAGGAATGTATAACTCATTTAGTAAAAAAGAGTAACAGCCCTTAACCAATGAAATTTCTCTTATAAAACTTCACTAGTTATTTGCTGTTTCTCTTGTTACTAAATATGTTTACACTCTAGTGTGCACTATGCTACTTTAATTTCACAAAATTTATAATTCATCATAAAGTGCTAACTAAAATCATACATTTTTCAGCAAAATTGTAAGATATAATAACAGTAAAAATATGAAACTCTGCACTTTCTTAACAGGTTTGTACACAACGGTATTTATTTCACTATAACCTCACTTTTTCTGGTTTAATAGAAATTATGCAACAGGAATACAATGAAACCCTTTTGCACTTAACGAAGATGGCATTCCGTTCAATTAGAGTAAGACTAAAATAAATGAATCACATAGCTTGTATTCTTAGCATAAATTATATTCCATAGAATGAAGGAGATACAAAGAACATCAGCATAAATTTTGAAACCATGATTTTAATATATATAATGTTTGACTAAAAGAATTTGTTCCATGCTAACCTTGCACTTTGTGCTCTTGAACTAGTTGCTTCTGTTGTCGTAATGTCTGAAACTGTTTCCAATGTAGCTCTTGTTCAGTTTCCTTTGGCCCTTTAGGTTCACGAGTCCCTCGATTAGAATCCTATATTAAGAATCAGTGCCTTATGGAAACCATGAAGTAATCACCAAACATATATTTGGCTATGTACTTATTTATAAAGGATTAAATCACCTGAAATTCCTTATATTGTAAAATAAAGTACATTTAAATCTTATTAACAGATCTCAACATTCTAATTCTTACACATAATAATTAGCTTACATAGTTTAAATCTATTTTCATCTAATTATGGTTTTAAATTTTATGCTCTGCTTATGTGTTAAAATAATAATTTTTATGGAAAATATATTTTGGAGCAGTTTTAAATTTAGTATCATATAAAACTTAATAAATAATTAAAATCAACATTTTATATTTACACAATTTTAAATACTTTATTGAAGCCATCAATGGCTTCCACTTTAAAAGCACACACTATCCATACACTGTTTCAACATAAAGGACGTTGAAACAATGTACATGTAGAATATACTTTTAAAGTTGAAGCCATTTACTGATCAATAAAGTTTTTCAAATTGTGTAAGTATAAAACACTGATTTTAATCATTTATTTTTTTTTATATAAGTTGCTAGTAAATAAGTGATTATTAATTTTTCATACAGAACATACAAATACAGAAAATAAACATTCTGTTCACAGCAGATCTAAGTATACACTTTAGCATCAGTAAACAAAAATTTTTTTACAACAACACACATCCACACAATACTCCTTCCCATTATTAAAGCACTTATCTTCACAATGACACATTACTGTACTGGAGAACATTAGTCTGTAGTCTATTTTAATCTTCAAAATTTGTTTTGATGCCAAAGTATTATCTCAGCTTAGTCTAACAAAACTTCTAAAATTTTACCAGCAAGGCTCATGATCATATGTGTAAAATAACCCTGCTGATTACACTACCTCTGTGAGAAACACCTAATGGGCTCCCACTGCAATTTATAGCTTTTTACATACACAGTAGTCTCATAGTAGTTAGTCCTACGTACAGCAATAAAAACCAGAAAATTAAAAGAAAGCTGATGTGAAAAGTTATAAGTTAAAGCTATTAAGATAACTAAATTTAGTTTCTTTTTGATTTATACTGGAGTCGGTACAGAGTACAAATGGTATTATGGTTTTTATTTCATATATTTCAACTTTTAGTTTCACTGTACCTTGATGATTTGGCTACAGTTAATGTTTAGGATAAAAATAAAATAAAATAAAAAGTTTTTGAAAAATAACTTTTTATATTCATTTATCAGATTTCACAGGTTATGCAAATGAAATATGAAGCTTTAAGTTGAAAAGAGTATTTTTATTCTTAACATTAAAATCACTTTTCACTCAGACTGACTCAGTAAAGGCATTAGAAATTCACAGACATATCTTTAGTAAAAAAAAGTACTTTATCAGAAAAATCTGACTCTTTTTCTGAACAATGGGCTTATAATGTTTACTAACAGACTAGCAAAGTTTGTGAGGATACACAAAGTAAATTCAGAATTATTGTAAACATTATTATGTACAACTTCATATACGGGGTTTGTCAAAATGACCGAGCTTGTGAGCAGAGGAATAATCAGACCATGGAGACATTCAAAGAACAACAGTCCTTTTGCCTACAAGATAACTACTTTTAGCATCTAGAAGCAGACTATTCATTATAAAAATAATTAGACAATCAACTCTTGAACTCATGGAAAAAATTACAGACAATTCTATAAACATACAAACAATACCTAAATCACACTATGCACAGTCAAACATTTTCTAGAATATACCACCAATTACTTTTGATGTCTGTGCATTTTACGTAATTTATAAACGAAATGTTATTCATGAAAGATACTCCAAATAAAGACCACTGAAATTATGCACTATGAGTATTTCATATTATTAAAAAGTATTGTTGAAACACAATAAAAACTTATTATTGGTGTGGAAAGCTTCAGTCCACTATATATGATACTGATATGTTTTTGCTTATATATATACATATAAAACTTCCTAATAAAGAAATTACTTACATAAAAAATTACACACAGTTTTGATAACAGGTTATTTTTCTGAG